CAGCTACAATGGAGTCGGTTCCATCAGCATCATCAGCAATGGAGCCAGTTCCAGCAGCAGCTACAACAGGAGCAGAAGGTGGTTCTTTGGAAGAATCCAAAAGATGCCCATAAGGAGTATCAAGCCCATAGCTCTTTCTCATCTGCTTGACCTTGGCCTCCTCCTTTGCAAGGAGGGAGGAGAGCTTAGATTTTCCTACACAAAGAATAGCTATATTAATAAAACAGTATTTACATTTCAAGAAAAAGATATGAAAACACTTACTCTCACTTAGAAGAGAGATTGCTACCGGATGAGTTGTAACAATCAGGGTCTCAATCTCTGAGTTAAGTGTGTTGATGTTCTATTTCAACTTTGCAATCATTTCAAGGGTCGGAAAACCCTTGAACGGTCAAATTCGAAGCCATCTGGAATTAAAAAAATCAAAAGTAAACTGGGGATCAAAGGCCTATATTAAAGGAATCTATAGACTCTATTAGAGGACTAAGCAAACAATAAGCTGGAATTTAAAGATGGTGAACAAATCTGGGGATCAAAATTATATGTACCCACTCCTAAAACTTTTGTACACATCAGAAATGAATATAATTTAATATAAATATTATGGTATAAGAATATATCAAATCTAAATATTTTCGCTTTCTACATAACACCATTCATGGACCTACAATGTTGTTAGACATGACTTTGTACTAATATACTCAGAGTATATTCTTGTCCAATACTCGAGTCTAATATCTTCTATTTATTTTGTGCAACCTGATTTTGACTTTTTAATTCAAAATATTTGATAAATCCCTCATCTTGTATGTTTTTGCATCACTAAAAAAATTAACTGTTTGATTGCATGATAAACTATTGTCATTTGGAAAAAAAGTGAAAAGGAAAAGGATGTCCAAATCCATTATCTCACTTGTGACTTAGCTAGACTCCCAAGGATTGGGTTTTTGTCTATGATGCTCTTAATAGCGTTTGTCTTCTTTCCATATTCCACAAAGAAGAAATGTTGCATATGCTATCAGCCTTTACAAGGAGAGAGTGATCATGTTTCTGGTGAAGTCATCAACAATAATTTATGTCAAATAGTAGCAAGAATATATTTGTCTTGTAAAACAATTTGATTTATATATATTATTCAGATTATTAATTAATGATGATTTTATAATTTATAATTTAATTTCAAAATTCATATAATTACCGGAAACAAATGGGTAAGATATTATTGGTATAAATATGTCCTTATTTGGATTTCTTCTATGTACGTGTATGCAAGTTACGGTGTACGCATTATTGATTATATGGACGTGTACGTCTGTTATATTATGTACTATTGTGGAGACGGTGTACATAATATTTACAGAGTTTATATTTTAGGTTTTCGACTTCAAAATATGCTGATATAAACTAGATTTACAAAATTTATGTGTATAAAACAATAAAACGTAAAAGAAACAAAAGAATATGAGATAAATGTGAACAATGACTACAAAATTAGGATTGCAGAAGAAGAAACTCGGGTTAAAGATGAATACAAACTTACAGTGATGCCTTTAAGTACATGGACGTGTACGTTTTTTAGATTATGTACCATTATTGAGGCAGTGTACGTGTAATATTTACTATTTTTTACATTACAAAAGCTTGGTTAATTTGACTAGCATTTCACAATATACCTTGAATGAATTCGAAGTATGGAATGTTACACCATTTTCGGTCATTTTAAGAATTTTTGAAACGTTTGGTATCTATGATGGTACACACGGCGAGTTAACCAAATGTTGTATATTTAGTAAAATATATATGAAATTTCTATCTTGATGTTGTTCTTTCTATGTAATTGTTATTTTAAAATTTTTTAATGAACGTTATGTTATACAATATTATTAATGGAGAACAGAAAAGATTCTAAACTAAACCGTAAAAGTATAAGATAATATTGAGATACACGTACACGTAAACGACCGCTCCAAACAGTTACATCCTAAAAATGCCTAAATCACATGTCTTTAACTATATACGTACACAAAAATATTTACTGGAACGTAATGGTACAACATTAAAGTGGTTGGAAAATATCTCTACCAACTATCTTCGTATAAATTAACATTTAAATTATTTGAGTTTAAAATCAAGTTGTTAGTTATCTGTATATCTTAATATAGATCATGAATATATAAACCATTCATAGACTTTACAATGTTGTTAAACATGACTTTGTACCAATATCCTCGCAGTATGTTCTTGTCCAATGCTCAAGTCTAATATCCTTTAATTATTTTGTACATCTTGATTTTGACTTTTTAATTCAAAATATTTGATAAGTCCCTCATTTTGTATGTTTTTGCATCACTAAAAAAAATCAACGTTTGAATGCATGATAAACCTATATTGTCATTTGTGAAAAAGAATAATTAAACACATTCTCCCAACATAAAATGCTTTCCCTGTTTTACTATTTTACTTCTGTCTTATCAGTGGGACATTGACTAAATCGTCGAAGATTGGAACATCATCAATATTGATCATTTCCACCTCACCACTTAGCAGTATAGAAAAGTCATTATAGACTTCGTAAGACTCATTTATTATCAATAAATCGTACTCTGATTCAGGTAAAACCGATCTTCTAATACTAAATTGCACACCATTACCATTCATCTCACATCTACCATGTCCATCTGTATTTGTGTACGTAAAACATTCACCTTTACATACTTCATCGTGTACATAGTTAGTAGTGTAAGTACATTCTTCCAAAAATCATGTCTTACCTTCCGGTTAGGACTCATAAATAGTTGAATATCACCATTTTTTTCAAAATGATCGATGTTTTTTCCATCACATACACGTTCATTAATATACGTATACGGTTCTATTAATCAACTGAATTTTCATGTTGGTCCCATAATTGGTTAAGTGTCACGAACATCTCCGACATGTCATATCCCATATTTCTCAACAACAAAATCATTCCACTTGTTGTTTTGTAATCTTCGCTAGTACTTTTAGTACCGTTTATAGTCGGTTCCAAGATATTCTCCTACTTAATTCATCGTTGTCCATCGTCATCTTCATCGTCCTCTTTCTCCTCTTCGTCGTCCTCACCCTCTTTATTGTCCTCCTTTTCTTCTTCCTCATATACTCTCTCATTGTTTTCATTCACATTTAGAGCCTCTAATATAGTTTTTGTTGCTTTTTCACCCCCTAACCAGGTTAGTATCATCAGCAAGATCCTCTATCATGCACATATTATTCACACATTCTTTAACGGATTAGACAAAATGTCACAAACATGTTTACACTTACCCCTACTATGAATAAAAAGGATGTATCCAAACTCACTTCTCTGTGATTGTTGTACTTATCATCATGCAATGACACCATTTTCTCTGTCACGATTACTATATAATGATCCAAACGTGACGAACGACACGTTTGTCTTGGAGATGCGCTGCATCAGATCTAGTTCTATCCCTAGAAGCTTCCGCTTCATCAAGATTCCCGATTTCTGAGAAGTCCCGGTTGGTCCATGAACCCAATTGTTCTGTACGATGTAGTGGTCAGAGACTTTAGTGAAACGAAGACGGAGATGGAGAACAGATTTTGAGCCATGTTTCTTCACTTCGAGTTGTGCTCTGGTGACGATGACAGCGACGTCGTTTTGGGACTTGTGATTGCTTCTTGTTGTGATCCAGTTTGGGTCATACTTCACTGGAGCCGTACACATGTGTGAGAATTTCTTACCGTTTAAAGTTTCGAAATAGCGATCATTGTCGGTGATTTGATCGGAGCCTCTCCATATATGTTCGTCGGTGATCTTTTCCCCAACTGTAGTTCTTGTATTTTCTAGGTGTTGTAAGTGTATAGCAAGCCTGATGACCATAAAATCATTATTTAATCATGCTTCAATTTTATAAGAAACAAAAATGTATGGCAATGCTAAACTAAATTGTCAACTTTAGTTATTTCATCTTATTTGATAGATAATGGTATCAAATTCACCGTACTTATTTAAAGAAATAATGTTTGCTTTGGTTGACTTTTTACCTATTACATTTCTTGCCTTCAAGGAACAATCGCATTCCGGTTACTGGATTCTTCTCGCTAGTCACCTAACCCGGAAAATAAAACGTCAACAATTAGTAAAACTACTAATGTTCTTACATGTATAATTTAGTTTACTAGCTAATAAGTGATATTGTGAAAAAGATGTATATAAATAAAATACACGTACGGGAGTGGTATTAACGTATAGTTTGGGACCTATGAAGTTGATGTGAAGAGCTGGATATGCCGAAGCCATATTTGGCGCCGCGCCAAACGGAAGGTCGTTATGGACCGGAGCCCATGTTCTTGCCTTCTTGGTCCAGAGAAGTCCAGAAGTATTGTAGGTCCATTAACGGCGGCTTGTCTGTACAAATTACCCTCCAAATCATTTACCAAACTAGACGTCTACTTTCAATAGTCAAAATATTGAGGTAAGAATAGTTACATCTGAGGTAGAGAGACATGGCGTGAGCGAGAAGACCAGAGCCTGGGACGTCTTTAAGGAGTGATGTGATCTGAATAAAGTTGAAATTGATCGCGTCGGGATTTTGCGGAACTGTTATTAGCCATTCGCTATGGCTCTTTGCTCTTCCGTCGCCTCCTCTTTTTGCACATAACCGTTATTCCCTGCATGCAAATTGTTCTTCTAGTGATTAACATTTTCATTATACAATTCGCCATGTTAGATTTTAGGTATGAAACTTACTTACATTTTGGGAATTTATCGAGAAATTATTGAAAGCAACCGTTTGTTTGTCATCAAAGACGTTGAAAGCCTCCGGAAACTGCAATATAAACGGATAGTTCATGATGCACTTGCAGAGTTAAACTCTGAAGTTGTTCTTCGGACTTGGTCTGCTAGCATGTATTGTGGTTCTTCTTGCGCGATTAAAAGAGTCTTATGATCAAGTTCTTATTCAGGTTATAACTGTTTTTCTTACTGTATTTTAACAGAACACAGCAAGGGAGATACTGAAGAAAGCACCTGGAGTTTATATAATAGACGACCGTGCTTCAAATACTTTCCCTACTCCACTAGATGTCTCTAACAAAGACGATGTAGCGGTTGGTAGGATAAGGCGAGACGTGTCTCAAGATGGCGATTTCGGGTAAAAGTCTCACTCTTTTTTATTGAATTTGAAGCAAATGAGTTTATGTTTTCCATTAGGTTAAAAGGATATAACTTGGTGAATTCAGGCTGGACATATTCGTTTGCGGAGACCAAATACGGAAAGGAGCTGCTCTGAATGCTGTTCAGATTGCAGAGATGCTTCTCTGAATTTGAACCCCCCCTCTCACTTTGCTTCTTATGAAATTCTTGACAAAGAGAGCACTGTATTATCAGATTTGAGACAAGAATTTGTCTTATTTTTCTATTTGACCAATTTTGTTACTTTCTTCATTCACTCATCCCCACGCTTGAACCTCTTGGCAATTGCCGGTTCGAATCTGTACCGACTTGGTTTAATGGAAGAAGCTTTATAAATAATAGGAATGGTCACAGAGGATCTCACCGAAGAGAACCACTGAAGTATTGGGGTCCCACATTGTCTTTCCTTTTCACTTTGATGATAAGATAGTACGATTGCAAACTTGTTTAAAAATAAGTCCTTCGTTACTAAGATTTGCATATTTTTCGTTTCCATGAAAATATAACAACCTTTTTTAAAGGTCGCTTTAGTCTTTAATAATACACCAATGAGAGAGCTCTTTCCCCCGTCCGATTAAACTCTGTTATATTGACGTCAGCAATCGGACGTAAGCAGGTCGGAGTTAACTTGCTACGCGAAACAGAGGATACAAGCTCGGCCAATAAGAAACCTGAGAAGACTTTGGTCTTTGGTGGACTTGGGTCTTTTTTCTTCTCTTTTTCTTTCGATAAATTATTGTACTTGGGTCTCTGTTCCCAGTGTAAATGAAAGTGAGAATCCAAAGGCCATCAGAGGGAAGATCGATCAGTCATCGCCGGGTAAGTCATCTGTCATCGTATACCTTTAAGCACCTCTGTTTCTACTTTCGTTAGTTCGTGTTCTTGTTTGAGTAGTGTGATCTTAAGATTCTTCAAAAACAACTTGTTTAGGTTGATAGAAGAAAATTTTATAGAGAAGATGGGGAAGACAATTCAAGTGTTTGGATTCCCGAATGGTGTGAGCGCAGAGGAAGTTAAGAAATTTCTTGAAAGACTCACTGGTTCAGGCACTGTTTACGCAATCAAAGTTAGACAACCAAAGAAAGGTGGTCCAAGAGTCTTTGCCATTGTTCAATTCACAAATGAGAGATATGCGAGGCAGATCATCACGGGTGCCGCAGAACGTAGTCTTTATTATGGGAGATCTTATCTCAATGCTTTTGAAGTGGAACAAGACATTGTTCCAAAGCCAAGAGCTTCATTGCACAACATCTCTGGTTTAAAGATGTATTTTGGATGTCAAGTCTCAACTCAGAAGTTTTTAACTCTCTGGAGTGCTCAAGATGTTTGTGTCTCCTTTGGAATTGGGATGAGAAAACTGCATTTTTCGTTTTCTTGGTATCAAAAGGACTATCGTCTTGAGCTTTCGTATGAGAATATATGGCAGATCGATTTGCATTCTCCGCAAGGACGGTCGTCGAAGTTTCTTGTGATTCAGGTGATCGGTGCTCCTAAAATCTTTGAGACAGAAAAAAAAACCTATCAATCTTTTGTTTGGAATGATGGATTTTTACAGTGATGGGTCTGATGAGCAATGGATTAGAACTACAGATTTCACTTCATCTTCTTGTATCGGTCAATCAACAGCCTTCTGTTTAGAGCTTCCTGTTCATCTTAATGTTCCTGATTTCAGAGAGAATTTTGCCAACTATGCAGAGCACAGAGCCAGCCCTTTTCTCATTGAATCCGGTTCTAGCTATTCATCTAATGCGAACAAGCTTGTTCCGGTTGTTGATCCTCCTCCAGGGTTTGATTTGCCTTTTGAGATCTTGTTTAAACTTAATACATTGGTGCAGAACGCATGTCTCCCAGGGCCAGCTCTTGATCTTGATGTTTATCAGTTGCTTAATCCCAAAAAAATTGACAGAGCTCTCATAGATCACTGTCTTGAGAAACTCTTTTACCTTGGGGAATCTTGCTATGAGCCTGCTCGTTGGCTTCGCAAACAGTACAAGGAGTTGAGCTCGAAAGGAAAGCTTCCACTGTCTCCTACGATATCTCTTGATGATGGACTTGTTTATATGTATCGCGTTCAAGTTACACCAGCAAGAGTCTATTTCTCTGGACCAGAGGTGAATGTTTCGAATCGTGTGCTTCGACATTACTCCAAGTATATCAACAACTTCCTCAGGGTATCATTTGTTGATGAAGATCTTGAAAAAGTTCGTTCCATGGATCTGTCTCCACGCTCTTCTACTCAAAGAAGAACCAAGTTATACGACAGGATATACTCTGTTCTTCGCGATGGGATTGTCATCGGCGATAAGAAGTTTGAGTTTCTCGCTTTTTCTTCCAGCCAGTTGCGGGAGAACTCTGCTTGGATGTTTGCACCGATAGACGGGCTAACATCAGCACATATCAGAGCTTGGATGGGTGATTTTGACCATATAAGAAATGTAGCAAAATATGCTGCAAGGCTTGGTCAATCTTTTAGCTCGTCAAGAGAGACACTCAATGTTAGGAGTGATGAGATCGAAGTGATTCCTGATGTTGAGATTATATCTTTAGGGACACGCTATGTGTTTTCTGATGGAATAGGAAAGATCTCAGCTGAATTTGCTAGACGGGTGGCTAAGAAATGTGGCCTCACAGAGTTTTCTCCATCTGCTTTTCAAATCCGTTATGGCGGTTATAAAGGAGTGGTGGCTGTTGATCCAAACTCATCAAAGAAACTGTCTCTGAGGAAGAGTATGAGCAAATTCGAGTCGGAGAACACGAAGCTTGATGTTTTGGCATGGAGCAAGTACCAACCTTGTTATATGAACAGACAACTGATTACACTTTTGTCTACTCTCGGGATTAAAGACAGTGTATTTGAGAAGAAACAAAGGGAAGTTGTGGATCGGCTCGACGCAATCTTAACTGATCCTTTGGAGGCTCACGAGGCTCTTGGTTTAATGGCTCCAGGGGAGAACACAAATATTCTCAAGGCATTGATCTTGTGTGGCTATAAACCTGACGCCGAACCTTTCCTTTCAATGATGCTTCAGAATTTCAGGGCATCTAAGTTGTTAGAACTACGGACAAAAACAAGGATTTTCATTTCTGGTGGAAGATCTATGATGGGATGCCTAGATGAGACCAGAACATTGGAGTACGGTCAGGTAGTAGTGCAGTATTCAGATCCCATGAGGCCGGGAAGGCGATTCATCATCACCGGACCTGTTGTTGTTGCGAAAAACCCTTGCTTGCATCCTGGTGACGTGCGTGTTCTTGAAGCTGTCAATGTCCCAGCTTTGAATCACATGGTGGACTGCGTTGTATTCCCGCAAAAGGGATTGAGGTAAACCACTTTTCTAAGCTTGATTCTTATTTTTTATCGAGCTTTCTTTGTTTAAGTCTCGAACTTTCATTGGAATCTTGTGTTCTTTTGTGCATAGGCCACACCCAAACGAATGTTCTGGGAGTGATTTAGATGGAGATATATACTTTGTATGTTGGGATCAAGAATTGATTCCACCAAGAACGTCTGAACCAATGGACTACACTCCTGAACCAGCTCAAATCTTGGATCATGATGTCACTATTGAGGTAAACAAAAAAATTGATCACTTTGGTTATATTATAATTTTTTCGCGTTAGGAGATTGATTGGCTAACTCGATTTCCAGGAAGTTGAAGAGTACTTCGCAAACTACATTGTGAATGATAGTTTAGGTATCATCGCGAATGCTCATACCGCCTTTGCGGATAAGGAACCACTCAAGGCGTTTAGTGACCCATGCATTGAGCTTGCAAGGAAGTTTTCAGTTGCGGTAGATTTCCCAAAAACTGGTGTTGCCGCTGAGATACCGCAACATCTTCACGTGAAAGAGTATCCTGATTTCATGGAGAAACCGGATAAGCCAACATATGAGTCGAAGAACGTGATCGGTAAGCTTTTTAGAGAGGTAAAAGAGCGAGCTCCACCGTTGATCTCGATCAAATCATTTACTCTTGATGTGGCCTTAAAGTCTTATGATAAAGACATGGAAGTTGACGGATTTGAGGAGTATGTTGATGAAGCTTTCCACTACAAGGCGAATTATGATTTCAAGTTAGGTAATTTAATGGATTACTATGGGATTAAGACTGAGGCTGAGATACTTAGTGGTGGTATCATGAGGATGTCAAAGTCATTCACCAAGAGACGAGATGCAGAGTCGATTGGAAGAGCGGTTCGGGCGTTGAGGAAAGAAACTTTGTCGTTGTTCAATGCCACTGAAGAAGAAAATGAGTCAGCAAAGGCTTCGGCTTGGTATCATGTAACGTACCACTCAAGTTACTGGGGACTTTATAATGAGGGTTTGAATCGTGACCATTTCTTAAGCTTTGCGTGGTGCGTTTATGATAAGCTTGTGAGGATCAAGAAGACCAATGCTGGGAGGCGTCAGAGGCAGGAGACGCTCGAGCGGTTAGGCCATGTTCTGCGTTTGAGTTGATTTTTTATTTTTATTGTTTTGGTTATGACTTGTGAGTTATGTAACATAAATGTTTGGTTTTAAGTGAAATCAGAAGTTTCTACTTTCTATGTAATTCAATTCGCCGTTTGACCGAAGTAACGCTAAAAGTCATTCTGTTTACTCAGACTACTTTTAATCTGAATTTTTGTACAAAAATCTCTAAATTAATTAGTACCAAACAAAAAAAAACGTTGCTACAACTAAGAGTTTCTATTTTCAACCTCTCAACATATGTGTGTATGTATATGTACACAAACAATTTCTGTTAAAGGACCAATCCCATCAAAACACATACACAACCTCTATATATATACACACACACTCCAAAATCAAGAATCACCCTGCGTATGAGCGTGCTATGTTTCATTTTAATGATTTTATTCAAACTAAATTTAATTTTCGTGAAACATATGATTTTATTTTTTTAATCTTAAAGGCCAATATTTTTTAATGAAGTTTTTTGTTTTAGAGAAACACTTAAACCTCAAATTTTAAATAAAAGAAACATTATAACGATCTTTATATAATTATCTAATGGATCAAAAAAAGCTAAATATAATGATACATATATTTATTAACAATAATAAATATCTCTTACAATTGTTTAATGTAACAATGAAATAAGTCCTTGTTT